ATACATCTCTCGGCAAACCCGACCGATATTTTTTAATATGTTGCCTTGAATTTAGATATATTTTTAATTAAAGAATATGAGATTTTCTGTTTTTTTCATTGGGTTTCATTGTCATAGCTCAAAATTTTTCGCCTCCATCCAAACTCGTTCTAGCTAGAAAATTCCCAAACATGCTTAATATTCTCCAAAAGAAAATTCAAACTTTTTCCCATAAAGCAACGAAATTTCAAAATTTTTTTTGGATAACTTTCCCAACTCAATTCAATTTTACATTAAAGACACTTCATTTTTTTATCTAGCCCAAAAAATCAATAGGGTAAGCTTCTTTTCTGAAGAGATTCTTTTCAGATTTATATTGCATCGCATTACCGTCACACTTTGCAACCTGCACACACACACACATACATACATACAAATACAAAAAACCAGCACCAACATCAACAAAACTGACGTTGCATACAAAATGAATATTTCAAACTCCTTCTGCGAAGACTTTAGAATTTCCTTGTTCTGCGAAGTAACCCTCAAGATAAAGGACTCTCAAAGGACTTGTTGAACACATCATTGTCGTCAACACACAATCATCGTGTCATCATTTAGTGTGTAACCTCGTCATTCATAGTTCGACGCTCATCGAGCGCCCATCCGCTCCCCGCTCCGCAATGAATGGTTGCAATAATTTTATAGTTTGCAAATAATGTCACTTTCATGGAAGCGTCTCTGCTCTTTGTGGGTTTTGTGAAAAGGATGCACTTCTGGGGGAGTGGTGTGATGAAGTAAAGTCGGTGGTGGGTGTGATGTGTGCGATGGTAAAAGTTTAATACCTTCAGGGCAATAGTTTCAAAACTTGTTCCAAATGTCTTTTAATGCTACTGATGATGTTGTTTAGAGCATCGAATCGCTTCTGTTTCCTTCGAACGAGTTTAAAGCAATACTGTCAACAACCAGCCATGCAACTTCATTGATGCTCCATGGCGGAAGTGTCTCTCGCTCACATCGACAGCATCAACGGTCAGGAAGTTCTGCCGTTGAAACTGCTGAACTGATGCACTATTCAATGCGTTACTTACGAATTCTTGCAAAGCTGTGGCAGTGTGCGTGTTATATCGATGATTTACTTTTAGCATCGAACCAGCAAAAAAAAAAAAAAGTGAAATAAAATAAGTATAAAGTAATTTCCCAAGCACTTTGTGGCATGCATGCAACGAGCAGGCACATAAGAGATCCCTTAAGGAGGAGTTATGTGCAGTTTTTCATGGTGTCTAGTATTTTGAAGCCTCCTACACCACCACCACCCCCCAGCGGGGGAAAGACAAATCATCAGACTCATCGCACACAGGTCTTTGCACAATTTCCGCATTGTAAAAGTTTGTCGGTTTTTTGACAAAAAACTTGAAAAATTGTTTTTAAGATAATAAAACCTTTTCTGAAGAAGAAGTAGAAGCAGAACCATGCAGGAAGGAAATACGAATTGCAATTTTCCAAGTTCTCTTGCAATTCCTTTGCTCAGATTTGGCTGTTATTCAATTCGTGAAACAAAAGCTTTGAAGAAGCGCGAAATCCTTTTTGACAACTTCATGAAAACATTTTGCTGACATTAATGTTCTTAAAGTGTCACCAGCTACCAGTTGGCGGATTGTTTTTTGTTTTTCGGAAAATTGATTTATTTTTTTCGTGTTTTGTTGGCAAGTTTAGTGAGGAGCAGAGGATATTTTTAGAGTTTTCTATTAATTTTATGGAAGACAGTGATGAAATTGCGAAGTGAAAACAAAGGGAGTTATATAAGGAAAAAACTTCGTCTTCGCAAAGCTCAATATGATCATCAATTTAATTAGATATACCTTTAAAGTTGTTCTATAGACGGACATAATTTAGAATATGAGGTCCGGTCCTAAATATTCCTAAATAAATTTTGTCTATGGGCAGAAAACCTAGAAAAAATTTTACTTTAGACTACAAAACATCCGGAATATTTTGTCTGTAAGAAGGAGGTATTGAGAGAACACTTAAAAAAATTAATCCATTAACATATAATCTTTAACGCTACAAAGAGAAAGCTGTTGAAAGCTTTTCAACCGATGATATTAAAAAAAAAAAATTAAAATTAATAGGAATTTTGTAAAAGCGAGGATATATAGAGAGATCTTAAAAATTCCTCATTTTTATAGATATATAGTCCTGTGTTCGTAGAAGAGTCTTAAAAATCATGATGAAATTAGGTTTTTCTGTAAAGAGGTTTTCAATGGAGGGAAGACCATTCTCCTACAGAGGGCATTTTTAAGCCTCTTTTAAATTTTCTATATGCAGAAGACTTTCTGATAGATAGTTACAGAAAGAAGCCCTTTAAAAGGTTCTCTTTATACAAAAATCTTTCAGAAGGTCTTCTTTAATCAATGAAAGCAATTCTTCTATAGATGCAAGGCTTTTCGGAAGTTGTACGAAATTTTAAAACCCTTAAGATATTCTTCAGAGAGAAAACCATTGGAGAGTTTCCGAGATAGGCTGGATATCTTAAGTAGAAATCTTCTGAAATTCGTCTAAAGTCAGAAGATCTTTTGAAAACAGGTAAGCCTTTAAAGTTTTTTTTAGAGGGGAAACCTTTATAATGAATGACTTCTAGCGACAGGAGTGCCTCTGAAACTTTTCTTCAGAATGAAGAAATATTGAATGTTTTCTATATTATGTCTGAATGCCTTCTTTAGGTAGCATATCATATCATATATTAATTCTCTACAGAAGACCGTCTTAAGTTCTTCTATAAAAGCTTTTCTATAGAGATGATTTTTTAGTGCCTTTAAAAGAAAAAAATACTTTAGAAACATTTCCAATAGAGAAAAGAGGTTTTATAACATCTTCTTCCAGAATTAGACAGAAATTAGGTCTTCTAGAGCTAGAAGACCTTAAAAAACTCTTTTGTGAACATAAGTTCTTTGAAAGGAAGCTGCGACCAGCAGGATATAAGACCTTTGGACATCTTTACTATTTGAAAGCTTTTCTTTAGGCAGAAAACATTTAAAGTCTTTCTTTAAACAGAAAACCTTTACAGCTTCTCTTTTGACAAAGTACCTTTGAAAGTTGAAAGTTTAGAAAAGCTTTCATTGAAACAGAAGATCATTCAAAGTACGTATATGAAGTAAATAATGTTAAAAGCTCTAATATGAGCAGCTAGTCTTTAAAATTAATATTTAAAAGCTTTTTTAGGCAGCTTTTCTTTGGACAAAATAAAAGCTCTCCTGGCAATACTTCGAAAAGCTTTTCTTTAAACAAGAGGGCATTCAAAGCTCGTCTGTGTAGAGAAGAATTTTAAAAGCTTTTATACGATCAGCTAATCTTTAATGTTAATATTCAAAAGCTTCTTCTTTGGTCAAAATATCTTTAAAGGGCTTTAAAAGCTCGATTACTGGAAAAACTTGGAAAAGCTTTTCTTGAAACAGAAGATGATTCAAAGTTCGTCTTAAAGGAGAATAATGTTAAAAGCTTTAATATGAACACCTCTCTGTAGTATTAATGTTTAAAAGCTTTTTGTTAGATAGAAAAACTTTCTCTTTACAAAAGACCTTAGAAAGTTCCTTTTTAGCCAAAGTGTCTTTAAAAACTCATCTACGAACAAAAGATCTTTATCAAATATTCCACAATAAGAGTCCTTTAAAAAGTTCTTCCATTGCCGGAAAATAATTATTTAAAGTTTTTAATAACATTTAAAATCGATTCTTTCAAAAATGAAGACTTTTAAAAGCTGTTCTCCGGAGAAAGGCTTTTTGCTGATAGCAGAACTTCAGAACCATTCTTCTCAAATCAAAGTCACTTTCGAGAACAGAGATCATTAAAAGGTCTACTATGGACAGAAAACCGTTAAAACTTGACTTTAGGCAGACGATCTTAAAAACCTATGCTGTAGACAGAATACCTGCTAAAGTTTAGGCAAAAGCCCCTGAAGTTCTTTTATAGACAGAATGCCTTTAAAAACTCTCTTATGGGCATAGCCTGTTTCAAATCTATTCTATAGAGAATACCTATTCATTTTCGTCGATTGAAAAAAATTTTTAACATTTTTATGGAAAAATATGTCTAACAGCTCTTTTATGGATAAAAGCCGTGCTAAAGCATAAACAAATGATAATATAGACCAAGGGTATCCAATTCGTATCAACAGATGTCGTGTCAGGGGTATGGGTGAAAATTTTGAAGTAGCTCAATTCGAAAATGTTAAAAACAAATTTAACAACTGAAGGATATTTGTCAGTAGAGAATAGAGTTCCATAATAAAATATAAGTGAAAATTATGTGATGACATCAAAAAATACGGGACAACGATGAAATGTATTTTTGAAATCGTGTAGGTCCACTACGTAAATCAGCATGTTGACCATGCAAAGACGTGCTGAGAGCCTGCATAAAAAACAAAAAGCTTGTTTTGTTATCTATATATTCATTTGTCAATGGTCAAAGCTCTACTATGGCCTGAAATCCTTTAAAAATTCTTCCAAAGCTAAATGAGGTTTAAAAGCTCTTCTGTGGAGAGAAAACGTTTAAAGGATATTTTGCGCGTATGGACCTTTAAAAGTTCTTATATGGACGTAGGACCTTTAAAATGACAAAATATCTTTAGGAAACCCTTAATGTATATAAGTGACTTTTAAATGTGATCGGCTTTTAGAATACATTTTTAAGGTATCATATTCAAAGAAGTTTTCCGAAAATGTTCCTGTATCTATATGACCAGTTGTTAGGTGTTTTCTAATTCAATCTGCCTTTATCTATTTATTATTAAAAACTGCTTAAATATATATTTTAAATTCTTAAAAACCCCTAACTTTAGATTAAATCAAGTTGTATTGCCTTAAACTATTCACTTAAACTATTCTCCTTTGTCATGAGCCTGGCTTTGGCGCCGGTTGATCTGGCAGACCTTTTTTCAATAACAATAAATTGTGTTGGAAGCCTCCTCTGCACTCAGAAATAAAATAAAAATTAAAAAACAAATAACTTGTCATACTTACTCGAAGGCAAAAAATAATGCACTTGTCCCCGTTATCAGGATGCACGTTAAATAAAATACGCCCGTATGAGGAGCTGACATTAACAAACCATCACAATAAAATTTATTACGTCCGGCAAATAGTTCCCATTTGCGTGTGACGCGTGTGTTTGGTGCCATGTTACAGCAGCAGCAACAGAATAAATTCATTTAGGTCCCAATGACGAGGACGGCGGGGACGACGATGGCGACGTCACCGACGACAACGGCTGGAGCAGCAATACCGGCACCACTATAGCACCCACGCACCCAGTCAAACACGCACGTTGTGCTGATCCTTCCCGGGGGCTTCGAACTCATGCACATGCACAAATTGATTTGCCCTTTATGGAGATGCTGGGTGGTATGTTGTTGGTGGGTGGATTTTCAAAATGAATCCAATTCCCGTTGCTGCCACCGCCGAGTGATGGTGAAATGATGACGCCGGTTTTTCTCCTGCGCGCTGTTGTAGTTGTTGTTTTCGTTTTTTTTTACTTTGTTGCCGAGTATGATAATAGAGTTGCAACAAATTGCTGCAATGAATCCACAGTTGGGTGACAACCTAAATGGGTATTGGTTGCCTGGTAGGGTGTGTGCGTGTGTGTGTGTGTTCTTGGGAGTTTAACACGCACTCTGCTGACTCTTCTGAGAGCTATACAAATCCAATTGAGTAATTGTTTACAGTTAAATGATGATGTTGTTCTTGTTGCTGTTATTGCTGTTACTGATGATGGTGTTCTTGGTTGGTTGGTTGGGGATGTGTCTGCGGTAGCCACACAGACAGACAGAGAGAGAGAGAGAGTGAGAGACAAGGAGTACCCCTATGAATATAGTCAGACTTGACTCTGTTGATGTTGGATGACTGGTTGGCTGGCTGGCTGACTGGCAGCTTGTTTGCCTGGTTAGTAAAACGTAGTTCGTTGTTGTTGCTGTTGTGGTTTAATCTTAAGGATTTAAAAATGAAGGTCTTAGTAATCCCTGCTGTTATTATCGTTAGCTGGTTGCTTGGGGCGGCGGGGGAGATGTTAATGCGTGTTCTGCAATGTTCCCTTGGTGTTGTGTTTTGGTGTCTGCGTGTTTTGTTTTTTATGCTCGCTTCCTCTTTAGCTCGTTTAATGTATTTACCAATGCTGGCAGACAGCAAATAACATCATGTCGAGCAATGTTGCCTCTTGTCCAGTTTGTCGGAACGACAGCAATACACATTCACACAAAATTTTTGCGAGGAGCAATGAATGTTTGGTGGACGAAATTACCAAGGAAGAAGAAAACTGGAGAGAAAAAAATGAAAACGTTTCATTCACGCAAATGATTTTCCTGGCTCACTGGCTGGCTGATGGTGATGACGATGATGACTCCCTTCTGTGTCGTCCTGTGTCGTTATGTTAAATGCTGTTGCTTGCTAATGTCCTTGTGGTTATGTTACTTGTTCTTCTCCTTCTGCTGCTTCGCTGCGAAACTGTAAATGCTGGGGCATGCACTTTTTCGAGGACGATGAGGACAAGGAGGAGTAGGAGGTGACAGAAGGCGTTATGGATCTACACTTTTAACATAAAATTTGGCTAATTTTTACATTTGTAGTTCTTGTGCGGAGGGTGGGGTGAAAGCAAATGCTGATGATGATAATGACAAGAACGCAATGGAGAAGAAGTAATATTGCTGTTGTAGTTGTTAGTTGTTCGTTCAGTCCTTGTTTTTTTTCTATAAAAATTTATTGTTGATGTTATTTTTATTATTGTTGTTTTTGTTGTTGCTGTTATTCTTTTTGTTGCTGTTGTTTATGTTCATTTGTAAAAATTACTGTTTATTTTATTTTCTTATTATTTTTGTTTTCTCTTTCGCGAATCGTTTAAATATTAAAAAACAAACAACTAGACAGGAAATATTATTGTTGTAGTTGTTGTTACTGCCCGGTTGGCTTGGTGTTTTTTTTGCTGTTCGTTCTCTTCCTTCTTCTTCGCTTGTTTCCGTCTAATTCACATTGGTGCTATCGCTGATGTTGCTGTCGTTGCACTTGATTTTGTTGTTGCCACTGTGGATAATGATGATGCTGTAGTTGGTGTTGCTGGTGGTGGTGGTGGGGTTGGCAGCGTTGGTGATGGCTGTCGTCGTAACTTCCGTTTCCCCTATTTAATATTTTTCTAAATTTCCCTTCGTTTGCTTCTTCTTCGTTGTTGTAGTCATTTGCCGTATGTCGCAGTAACATTATGCCCCCTCACTCGGTCCCCTTCTCTTTCTGTGTATCTCAGAATCGTGATGTGCAAGTTATTTTGGGCTATTACTGAGTTTTGGATAACTTCGTGTGGATCTTTGTTTTTCTCCCAAATGTTTATTGTTGTTTATTAAGTGCCCTCAAACTCCATGTTAATATTGCAGTTCTCGGGTTTCTATTACTGTGAACATATTTTTATGGAATGGTTGCTCCCAGACTCGTTCCTCCAAACAAAAAATATGTGAGTGCGTTGTTCTGCAAAGATAGAAAGAAAAAAACATATATTATTGAAATGATGTGGTGAATGTAGCTACAAACATTTTCGGTCATAAAATAAACATTTCCCATTGACGTGGAGGAGCGTATCGGCGTATCGGCAAATACTGAAAATTGAGCTCGGGGTAAAGCCATTGAAATTCCAAAAAGTGCAAGAATTTACACCGCAACAGAAAGAAAATAGACTCAAAAGAGCTAAAAAGTTGCTTCGCTTGGCCGAAAGTGGTGAACTGCCGAATTTGGTTTTCTCCGTCTCCGATGAGAAAACATTCCTTGTCCAGCAGAAAATGATGAACAAACAAAATGATCGTGTTTACTTGCCAAAGAGATCAGCTGAAAATGTGCACCTTCGGTTGGCCACCAGAACTCAAGCGCCGGCCGTGGTGATGGTATGGGCCGCCATAACAGTCGATGGTCGCTCTCCGCTCGTATTAATCGACCGTGGCATCAGAATAAATGCCTCATATTATCGCGAAAATATTCTGGAGGGTGTATTAAAGCCTTGGGCACGTAAACATTTTGGCCGCAGACCTTGGACATTCCAACAGAACTCAGCACCATCGCACTCATGGTTACAAAATGAGGTTCCTCGCTTCAGTTCCAGCTCAAAATGGCCACCAAAATCTCTGGATACCAATCCGTTGAACTATTGTGTCTGGAGTATGTTGGAAAGCAAGGTTGGCACTAAAAAATACCATAGCGTCGATCACCTCAAGCAAGCACATCGCCGGGAATGGGCCAAAATACCGCAGAGCAACATTCGGGCGGCGTGTGACGGTTTCATTGGCAGTTTGAAGGCCATAATTCGTGCCAAAGTTGTTCAATTCGAACAAATATAAACTTATTCTAAAATTTGATGCTATTTTCGACATTTTTGCTTTCATTCAATAAGTTTAAAAAATAAATTAAAAATTATGGAGTCTGACTTTGCTGCAGTTTTTTGGCTCACCCTGTGTCTCATATAAAGTGAAGAAAGTAGCCAATAGAGTCCAAACCTGACACCTCGCAATATTTATATCATATTTATTTAGGTCCGATACGAAATAGACAATAATGGCTCACTATAGATGGTCAAGAATAGAGGAGGAATTTTTTAAATTTAAATAATCGAGCATTGGCTGAGGATATACATCTACCGGCGAAACCGACAGACACTATTAAACTTGTTAAGATTGGCATTCTCACCAAGAGTTCCCTACATTTATTCAATTGATATGTTTAATATAGACAAAAGACTTTCAAAAGGGTTTCTATTAACATAACTTCGCTGAAAGACTTTCTTATAGTAGAAGACCCCTCTCTGGCATTTCATAGAGCCGGAATATTCACCGAAGCTACGCCAATGCTTTTTTCCACTGTTTAAATTATTTGATGTAATATTTGTGTTATTCAAATTTCGCATATAAAATGTATGGCATTTTTTCTTTGCTATTTTTTTTATAATTGAAAAAATATGTTGATGTAAAATATCTTATGTTCCATCTTGAGTAGAGGAGGAAACCCCCTGGGTATGAGCTACCCCAGCATTACTCATACGCTACTAAGGGTGGGGAGAGTCGTTGCAAATTTCCATTAGTGATTCATTGTCACGAATGAAATAACCACTTGGGGGGAATATATGAAAATGTATGCGTGTATTTTTACATGGGGGTAATTCGTAAATTTTTTTAGCAAATTTGCCAACTACCCATAAATATGAGTAAACATGTTTATGAAATTCTGATAATGGTACAATATTTAAACAGAGGTTCCACCCAACACTGTTAAAATATAAATAATGTATAGCATTCAATAATAGCGAGTTTTATAATTAAAGTAATATCATTTGGGCATTTTGGATATTTTTCTAATGTAGAAAATATGTTCGCAATAGGCAATCGAAGGGTAAGATATTGTAGTTTTGTTAAAGCAATTTCCCCTCAGGAATTTGTCGCTGTTAGCCTGCATTTTTATGTCAACTTGGGGTACAGCCCTCATAAAATGCCACCTCCTGATTTTAATTATTGTAAGGGTTTTGGTCATAGTTTCCCAATGACTTCGGCCTTAATTTGTTTTATTTGGACGTCGAACACTTTTAAAATTATTTTTTAATATGGCCAAGACCCTTACAATAACTAAAAACAGGCCGTGTATATATTAGAGCTGCAGAACAACATTGACCTGTATTTATAATAATTTCTAAAATTCCTCATAATAAGTAGTCAAAACGCCAGAATTTCGCAAAATTAATTAAAAAACTCCACCAAAACTTAAAAAAAAATACTTGAAATCGGAGGGCTATACCAAAAAGTGAACCGATATGATCCGTTCCATCAAATTTCAAAGCTTTATCCTCAACTATGTATTTGGTTAAAACTATATTACTGCCTTAACAAAGTTTGGCATAAGAACACGAGACTGCTTTGGGGCTTTGATCTACGAACGAGTAGTATGAAATCCACTTTGAATTCTCCAACCATTGGGCAAATATTGAAAAATCAGCTCGGGGTAAAGCAATTGAAATTCGAAAAAGTGCAAGAACTTACACCGCAACAGAAAGAAAATTGACTCAAAAGAGCTAAAGAGTTGCTTTGCTTGGTCGTGAACTGCCGAATTTGGTTTTCTCTGTCTCCAATGAGAAAACATTCGTTGTCCAGCAGTTTGTCAACGAACAAATTAATCGTGTTTACTTGCTAAAGAGGTCAGCTGAAAATTTGCACCTTCGGTTAGCCACCAGAACTCAAGCGCCGGCCATGGTGATGGTGTGGACCGCCATAACAGCCGATGGTCGCTCTCCGCTCGTATTAATCGACCGTGGCATCAGAATAAATGTCGAATATTATCGCGAAAATATTGTGGATGGTGTATTAAAGCCTTGGACACGCAAACATTTTGGCCGCAGATCTTGGACATTCCAACAGGACTCTGCATCATCGCACTCAGCACGCTCCACTCAAGAATGGTTACAAAATGGGGTTCCTCGCTTCTTTTCCAGCGCACAATGGTCACCCAAAATCTCCGGATACCAATCCGTTGAACTATTGTGTCTGGAGTATTTTGGAAAGCAAGGTTGGCACTAAAAAATACCATAGCGTCGATCACCTCAAGCAAGCACATCGCCGGGAATGAGCCAACATACCGCAGAGCAACATTCGGGCGGCGTGTGACGGTTTCATTGGGCGTTTGAAGGCCATAATTCGTGCCAAATGTGACCAATTCGAACAAATCTAAACTTATTCTAAAATTTGACGCTATTTCCGACATTTTTTGTTTTCATTCAATAAAATTTAAAAACAAAAATGTACAAACTATGGCGTTTGACTTTGTTGCAGTTTTTTATATCTCCCGTGTGTATATGTAGTTATAAGGTTGAGGATGTAAATGAAAAAAATAATGCATTTTCAAATCCTGGATGAATTGAACTGAAGATGTCATTTAATAAGAGAATAAAACGATGGGTAATTTCTATCAATTTTAAAATTCGATATATTTCCACAAACCGTGCCTTGTTATATACTAGTGTTGATTATTTCCCATAGTTTTTTAATTCAATCATCTATGAATCACGATAATAAAAACATTTGTGATTTGCATCTATTTGTCAACCCAGATTTTTTCCAGATTATCCTCACAAGTAGTTGCATGCATTCAAGCATACAACTACGAAATCCAAAAAAATAAAACCAAGCGCAATAAAGCGCATTCCTGTATCCTGTACCGAAAAAGAATTCAATTAAACTGCATCCTTCTCGTGCATACAAATATATTCAAAACCTCTACGTCTAGTTAACAAATGTGTGCTTATTCTAAAAAGTTTGTTTTAATTTTTCAAAACAATGATCAAAAGCAAACATCCGACCAAAAAAATCACCATTTCTTTAACATCAACAGTAATTTATACCGCACATGAACAGGAAATAAATAAAACTGTCTGTTTTCTAAGTTTCAACGATAATAAATTGCATTTTAAGATCCGCCTCTACATCTTTTGCTACTTCGGTGTCATTGTCTTCCTATTCTGCTGTTGCTGCTTCATCTTCTTCTTCATCGTCCCCTTCTTTTTCGAGACGTTCTGTTAGTTCTTTTAACAAATGAAATGTTGCTGGCATTTTTGCTGTTGTTGATGTTAATGCTGCCACTGCTGATGCTGTAGCTATTCTGCCTTGCCTTTTGTTTTCCATGTAAAATAAAATACGACCAGCACACACACTTTGAATATTGTTTTTAGCCATTAAAATGGTCAGATGGACGGACGGACAGACAAAGAGTCATGCAAATATATAATAATATGATATGGTCAAGAGGAGTTCCAGTCCAGTATGTTTATGTTAGAAGTTTATCTGTTTTATCTGGATAAACAGTTGGACAGTCGAACAGACCGATAGACAGACAGATGGCAAATATGTAAACACATTTAAGGGCAGTATCAACAAACATGTTGACATATTTCAGCCTTGAGGCTGATATTCTTAAGGAAATTCGATAAAATGCCATCATCAGATAGATAGGATAATCTATGGAAAATCTGCTTATGAAATGTAGAAAAATAATGTCAAATACTAAGTAAGGAGGATTTTATGGATAATGGAACCGACCGTTAAGTATTCTACACAAATGGTAGGCCCTATAAAATATTTCATTCGAAATTCTCATAAGGATGCAACATGAAAAAAAAATAAGAAAATTTTAAAATAGGTATTTTCACTTTAGAGCTCGTCAAGTTGATGTGTATATCCGAGAGCAGAGATTAAGTCGTTTTCACTTGGGACTTAATCTTAATTGAGAGCGAGATTTCTCATAGAGTGGAAGTTTTATATGGAGTTTACACTTTACTCTTTTGTTTTGTATGGGCGCTCGCGAGTCACTCCTGTTTGAAAAATTAGAGTGGTAGCCGAATCGCTCGAAATAGAGTAAAAATTTGCTCTATGACAGAAAAGGAGCAGAAAAACGTATTATGTTTGCTATTTAGTGTGTGTGTTGATGTTCCTACCAACTGTGGG